CATCAGCATAATTTGTTTTTGCTTGACTTCAATATTTTATCTATCTCTATATTGTTGTATTGTACTTATAGTACCTCTACTCTACATGTATGTGCTCTGTAATATTGATATGTAAAAAATAGGAGGCTCTTTCGCATTAGTTACAATGAGTATTCGTTGCATGGGTGCATGCTCTTGTAGTAGCGCAGGCATTTCGCTGCTTGAGAATCTTTTTGGGCTTTGCTTTCCAGTTTTCATGGAATTGTTGGATTGAAAGAAAAAAGTATCGAGTTGTTAGAAATCTGACTGTAGTTTAGGTACTCAAGTTTCATTTTATCTAACCATTTTTGCATTCCCGACTGAATATTAATGCTTAATGTTGAAAAAAAAATGTTTTACAATAAAATTATCCACTGCTTTCCTTTTGCACAATTTGTACCTTGCCTTCCGTACCATAATGTACTTACCAGGTTCATTGAAAAGGAATCATACCCATCACTTTTTAAGTGCTTTGCATACATATGTAACATATCCTCTAATTATAGTATTCATATTTTCCTTAGGCTATTGTTGGACAGATTAAACTATGTTTTATGAACAATTTCAGAAACAATGGGTTTATGCATCTCTTTTCAAATATTACAGAATTTGGTGATATTTGGAAAAGTGCATGTTTCTAATACATTATTATCATTTGTCTCAAGATTTTAGAAGAAGACTTTCATACTGTAAATATGAGGTTCTTTGAGCATATTGAACTGATGGTTTAGTTTGATTACCTGTGCATACATGTGTATTTTGTTTGAGATACCATTTCAAGTCTTGGACCACCGAACTTTCTTTCTAATATCTGTTATTTTCTGCTCTCAACAGAGTTTGGAGAGATTACTACTCAGTACCCACCCCGAACTAGAAAGGTCAAAATCATCAACTTCAATGGCCGCTCATTTGTCCAGTTCAACTTCAACCGACTGCCCAGAGAATACCTGCAGCCAGCGGACACTGAAGAGTTCCAGTTTTACTTCTTAGCCAATCAGCCGGATGGTTTAATCTGGTTCCATGAGGATCAGACTCGTAAAATGTATCTGGCCCTCAGGGTGAGTTACTGGATTGCTTAGTTGTATCAAAAAAGTGACAAGATTATGGGTGATATTTCGCTAAATTAATTTTCTTAAAGTCATACTCAATTAAATTTACTTCACTTGCTTTTGATTGTGCTGCTTTATGTACATAGACCACATCATAAACTGTGAGTATATATTGAGTTGGTGATCCTTTTATGGGCATTTCTGTTCCTTAAACTTTCTTTTTATCACTACATAGGGTTCTCCCAGGTAGGAATACACAAATATCTGCCTTGTGATGTTATTCAATTTTCTCTATCACAAATGACAGAGAGTTTCATTACATGTGTACATTTTTATATTGAAGTTTGTTTACTATTTTTCACCACAACTAAAAGATTAGTTATTTGAAAACAGGGAAAATGGCACATCTTATATGTTTACAACATGCAATCTGTTCTTCAGTCAACACTGTTTTTTCTTCTGTTTTCCAGGATGGCTACCTTGTCTTTGTCAATGATGATGGCACTGGTTCTCCCGATGAAATAACTATCGGTCAACGTGAGGGAAAGCGCTTTGATGATGGTGCCTGGTATCTGTTCCGCTTGAGCCGCAGAGGCAGAAAGGTAAGGAGGGGTGTGAATGTTTGGGAAATAATGAATAAGCTTTTTATGTTCCATCCGTCTACGTATTTCATCCTCTGATATGTGCTGCCAGCAACAAAAAGATCCACCCACTTCTCCGTCTTTGGCACTGATCAGTGGATCAACTTTGAATTTGCCCTTTTTTCAGGACATAATTTTTACAGCCTGGTTATTTCAGAACAAGACCTGTTCTATCAAGGACAAGAATGCCTTTCTTAGTTGTTTTGCTTTATTTTTCAACTTTTTTCTCTCCACATTCTGTGTCTGAAATGGCTGATAGTTTGTTCAACCTCCAGTGCACTTAGCAGCCTTCTGGTGTTCACACTCCTTTGAGCTTAATGGAAGTGAATTAATTCTGACTGCTGATTTTCCTTCTGGCACACTTTCCTCGCTAGAAATGAAGTAAAGGCGACAGCTTTCAGTCAATAATCTGTTTTTATCATTATCATAGCCAAGTTTACCATAGAGTCAATCTCATTAGACAAAAAAGGTGCATCAGCAATTTGTAATTTTTTTCCCGCTGACATGTTTTGGCAGGTTGAACAGGAAAGGGTTAAAGTAAAATGTTGTACTTGTTTCTAAAGGTGACAATGACAGTGAACAACAATTATCCTGTGGAGTACATCTTTGCTGAGAACATCCAGTTCCTGGTGCCTGCAGAAGTGTACCTGGGAGGAACCACCAACACCTACGCATCCACAGGAGGTCGTGTAGTGCAGAACTTTAATGGTGGCCTTGCTCTTGTAAGTAGTTTCGGTTTACCCACTTTACATCTTATTTTTACCTTGCTTTGTAGACCCTGCATCATTTTAAAACATTCTCAGCTTCATGAAAAATATTCAGCGAAAGCTGTCATTTTACAGGCATTCAAACACTAGCATACTGACAAGATGTTTCCCTGTCATTAACAGGGTACCCATTCTTATCTTAGTGAAGTAAATAAGTGATGATGCTTAATATTTTGTGTTTGTCAATTTTAATCTTGATATAGTATAAGTCTTGAGCAGTGGAGAGTAGTTTTTAATCCTGAAAACTTTTAATTTTCTTTACTCCACTGAGCTTTTTTTTTTGTTGTGTCAGATATTGGAAGACATGAAGATTCTATCATGTGATGAAAAGAATCTTTGGAAGTCTTACTAGTAATTCATTCCTTCATTCTTTCTTTCTGCGTGCTCTCTTTGGCAGGTTTTATACAAGACTGAGACACGGCAGGGTAACAGAGTCTTCAAAAATGAAGTTAATCTAATTGCTGAGCTTGGAGATGATGTCAACGGTGACGGTAAGTCAGATCTTGTGCGTACAGAAATAGAAAGGAAGATCTTTTCTAAAAGTGGCACCAACTTTGTTCAAAGAGCATACAAATAAGTAAAATCATAGAGAGAGGTGGTCATGATAAGATTGCAATATCGAGGGTGAAAATTAAGATTGTGTTCAAGAGAGTGGAGTGCACTTTGTGCTGGTGAACACTTTACGCAATAATTTAGGGTTGAACATTAATTGTTTTATATTGCATAACTATTAAGAGTAGTCCTTTCTTAGGTAGTTGCCAAACTGAACCTTTCTACATATAATTTTGAGTGTGTGTATGTGTGTGTGTGTGTGTGTGTGTGTGTGTGTGTGTGTGTGTGTGTGTGTGTGTGTGTGTGTGTGTGTGCGCGCACACATGTGTGTGCCTTCTTCAGTGGATGTATGCTGTTGTATTGAGTAAGCAGGTGCAAAACTGGATATCACTCACCTGTCTAGTAATCATAAGCCCTATTGCAACAGCTGTTTTTGCATACTACTGCTTTGCCTCTCCTGTCCAGGTATTGACGTGGTCACCGTGGACTGGCCGCCTCGTGGTACTTGGCCCACGCCTCGCCGAACACGACCTACACGTCCCACACCGCGCAGGACGCGGCCCACACGACCCACACCCCGCCGCACAAGACCCACCAGACCCACGCCCCGCCGCACAAGACCCACCAGACCACCAATAACAACCAGACCTCCACCCTTGTTGACGTCTGTCACAATCAAAGACAAAGAAGTCTTTTTTGTTCTACAAGAGGTAGGCAGTTTCTTTTCTCTTAGATTTAATTTCATCTCAATCATAACACTATTGCGTGTGTGTATTGAGAAAGGAATGAAAAGGTGGCCCATATTGTTTAGAGCTATGATCTGATAAAGTAAAAAATCAGTATTGTGACTGAAACACATTTCCCTAAGGAAAACAATAGTCTCACCCTTTTCAAACCATAATTTGAAAGGATTTTAAAAAATTTAACTTGTAAGTAATTTGAGTCCGTGCATTTCCGTGGAGTTCTAAAAGTTCTAGATTTTTTTTGTAGACGCTTAGCACCTCTGATAACAGGCATTTTGGTGCACCAAAACTAGAAACCTGGATTTTCAGTGTTACTATGGTCCTTTTCTGTTCCTTAGGGGCTGTGGCATTCAGGCTTGTTGAAGACTACTACTTTTATCAGAAACATTTACATTTCAGTTAGCATCCCATTAATCTTTTGAATCCTCCACCTTGACATTTCCCAAATCCCCATGCCTGAACCACTGTCTTGACAGGGAATCAAGTACTCCATTTTAGGGAGGTTCTATATTGTGTGTTGTTAGTTAGTTTGGTAAGAGTTTTACAGTGCTCGCAACTGCATTAGGTCATATGAGCGCGCAGAACACAAGTTGGTAGCATTTACAACAATTCAAAGCGGGGCTTCGTTTTGGTCTATGATCAGACTAAGTAAGTGGTTAGAAATGTTATGGTAAAAATTTCAATCTTAAAAAATAACAATTGACATTTTATCAAAATAATATTTATATTTTACTGTAAAGACCAATGCATTGTGTGTTGCTGGGAATTCAACTTCTTTCAAAAATGGTCACAGCAAGTACTTGAGATCGAAACTTGTCAATTATTTTACAGCGTTTCCAGATCCAAGCCGGCAGCGCCCTGTCTTTCAAGTTCCAGACCATTAAGCGTGAAGGGCTTCTTGTGTACACCACCAGCAATATCATTGGCAGGAACTACCTAGCCTTGGAGATCTTTGATGGGAAGCTCTACTTGGTTCACAACTTTGGCGGAGAGTCCAAGAGGACTCTTCTGTCTGAGTCTGAAGTATCGGATGGACAGCCTCATGAGGTGAGCCACTTGGATAGGGAGAGAATCAACACAAGCTCATTCTCATTCTTCACCATAAAGATCACTGTATATATCCATTGCAAACATTTTTCAAACATGTCCACTCCGACTCTTTACATTATTTACATCATGCCCTAATGTTTTACTTCTTCTACACTCTTCTCAGGTGATTCTGAAGTTTTACGACACACAGATTGCCACTCGACTGGACAGAAACTCCCAAAGAATCAGAATCATTAGCCCTGAACGTTTGCCTCGTGACTTGGGTAAGGAACCAACTAATTTAGCCTCTTACATGAAGTGACTAAAGAAAATTTACTTTTAAACTGACTCTTTGGGAGATGAGCAATTGTATGTGTGTATTTTATGCTGAATTAATTCTGTAAAAGTATGTGTAAACCATTATTTTCATAAAAGCCTAGTTGCAGATTTTCTTCCTTTATCAAACAAACCTTAAGTGGAAAAATGAATCACATCATCAGAGTGGAAAATATTATATCTTGCATGTCTAAAATATTATTCAAATTTTAATGGTAGATTTTACTTTTACACAGTACAAAATAATAAACTTCCTTCTTTACAATAAATTACCTTAAGGCATACATGGGCAAGTTCTTTGCTATGTTTTAGTGCTGCTTTAGCTGAAGAACGTCAACAGAATCATAATAAATAGACACAAATAATAGAACGATTTTTCCGTATCGTTTCTTAGGCCCATTGTACATTGGTGGCTACTCCACCATGGAGCTCCTGCCATGGCACACGTGGGCTCGTGAGGGCTACCAGGGTTGTATAGAAGACCTGCAGATCAGTGGACGGATCATCGATCTTCACCGCTATGTACAGAACCAGGTGAGGATGCTAAATGAAAATAGCAAAGGGGAGGGCGGGGGGGGTGATGGGGGGTGTTCGGAGGTTCAATATCTCAGTATATGAGAGAAGAAGAATCAGACAAACTGCAAGGGTAATTATGTGTCTGTCGTGCATACACTTATTTTTGTTATTTCTTCACCCCTAGTTTGCAATAATAATGATAATAATAAATGGTCATTATTGTGTCGGTGTGCTTCACTTAATGCTGACAAACAGGGTGCCTTAGATCCAATTTGTCACATTGTACCATAATGTACTTTTCTGTGTATCATAATTTGCTGTTGTGTGTCATAATGTGCTGTTGTGTGCACCATAGTGGGCTACTGTGTATATCATAATGTGCTGTTGTGTGCACCATAGTGTGCTGTTGTGTATGTCATAATGTGCTGTTGTGTATATCATATTGTGCTGTTGCGCATTTCAGCAACTGTTTGGCCGTGTGGATCGTCGGTGCAGTGCAATGCCTCAGCAGTGCTCTACCCAGAGTCCCTGTGTGCACGGTTACTGTGTGAACAAATGGGGAAATTACCACTGCGACTGCCGCGCCACGGACTATAGTGGGAAGCGGTGCGAAGTCCGTGAGTTTCTGTGGCTGTCAAAGTTTTGGCTTTTTTTTCCCTTCTTTCTTTCTAGTTGTTTGGTGACATGACTATGTGAACATGTAGTCAAATCTTGTTATGTGTAAATCTGATGAGGTTTTGTCAGTTCAATGCTGTATGTAATTATCTCTTTGATAATACAAAGAAAAATCAGTCTATGGAAAACCCTTAAAAGGGATGACTTTCGGAGGTAACTCATTTCTTTCTCCAACTTTTTCTTTACTAAGAATTTTCAGTGGAAATAAGATTGCTCAAAAGCTGAACTGTTCCAGCCATTTATGTAGTACAAAATGGAAGGCTCTACTGGTAGGTTCTTTTTTAAATTGCTATCCTACTTACACTTTTCAAGCATAAAATGACTGTTATTGTCTTGAAATGCTTATCTTTACTCGCTAAAACAAGATTTTCATGACACACTTTGCACTAATTTGCTCAATGTATCTCTCTTCAGCTGCATGGACTGGAATGTTCAATGGCTCGACAACCTACAGGCTGGAATTCCGACCTGAACAGAGGTTCCATAGGGATGATATCTCATTCCGCTTCAAGACCATGGTGACAGATGGGCTCATCTTTCACACAAAGGCTCGAAGTGACGGAGGCTTCATGAGGGCTGAGCTGGAAGGAGGAAAGATTAAGATTACCACTAATCTAGGAGGAGAATACCAGGTATGTACTTAGTATTGTGTGAATTCATGTATAAGTGGAGAGTGGTGGAGGAGGAGTAGGGGTGGTGTGGGGGTGAAGGGGGGAAAGGGGGCAAAAAAGGTGGCAAAAAGAAGAGGAAACTTCTTAGCAACATGCTATGCTAGTCAATACGGAATCACAAAAGAAACAAAATACATTCATTTGGGAGAACATAATAATATAGGATAACCAATTTTTGTTGCTCCACAGACTTTTTATCTGGGTGAGAACTTGAATGATATGCAATGGCACACTGTCTACATGCAGCGTCGGGGGAACCAGATGGAGGTTTGGATTGACGATCTGGACCATGAAAAAAGTAAGTACAGATTGATGACTGGTTATGTAGGGACATTTCAATCAACAGTAGTTAACGGTTTCGAATTTATATTATAATAAATCATAAAAAGACGAGGACTGATTAAAAATGAATCGGTTTTGTATTTGATTATCTGGTAACTTGTAAAAATATACCCAAACTAAGCCCTTCTCTTGAATTCTTCTCAAGAAGGAATTTCAATACATCAAAAGAAGCTACAGACGAGCCTTCATCAACCCCACATATTGTTTTGTTTCTCAAGATAGGGATGACTACTAATTTGATTTCTTAGTAACTGCTGAAATTTTGAATAATTTTATTAGGATGTTCCAGACGCTATACAAACTTATTGTCATCATATTTATAGCTAAGCTCTTCTGTTTTGTTTCCAAAGTACGCTTTGAATGTGTTTTACAATTATTGTTATGGATTTGTTTGCCATTTATCCAAGTTTTTGATGCTGTTTTTTTTCAGAGATTCTTCCCGGAGAAGGATTTTTCCTGTTTATCAAAAATATCTTCATTGGAGGATACAAAGACGGAGAGGTGGACTATTTAGGAGATGTAAAACCATACATTGGCTACCTCAGAAACTTTTATGTAGGAAAATTTGATATTCTCAACGAAATTCACACTGGTGGAGATGGAATCTTCTTTCAAGAACCCAACCTGCCTCCTCTTATTTTCTACGATGTTACATTCCCAAGCTATGACCTTTTTATCAAGCTGCCATCTCTTGGCCGAGTTTCAAATTTGAACTTGAACTTTGTGTTCAAGACCACAGATGAGAATGGAATCATTTTGTTCAACGAGGGACGTAACAAGGAGCTGTTTGCTATTGAGCTGTTTAATGGCAGAGTCTTTGTTAAGGTAACTTTGATTTGATATTCAGTCATCAAGAAGGCTTTGTTTCTCTTATATTTATGTTTATTTGAATGTGTGTTTCTATAATAGTGGAACAGATTGGGTTTACAACCGTTTGGCTGTAAGAATTCTTTAGCTCAATTAATTAATAATAATAATAATAAATTGCATTTATATAGCGCATTTCCACAAAGAAGTGCTCAAAGCGCTGTACAATAATACAAGAACATATGAAGCGCACAGCTCCTATAGTAATCCCCTTTCTCTCTCTTTCTCTCCCTAGTCTCACTCTGTCTCTGTCTCTCTCTCTGTCTTTCTCTGTCTTTCTCTGTCTCTCTCTCTGTCTTTCTCTGTCTCTCTCTCTCTTCTCTCTCTCTCTCTCTCTCTCTTTTCTCTCTCTCTCTCTCTCTTTTCTCTCTCTCTCTCTCTCTCTCTCTCTCTCTCTCTCTCTCCAGTACATCCTTGAGTAAAGACAATCCCACAAAGCTTACCCAGAAACCCTCGCGCACATTGATGAATTCACACAGTCATAAATTCTTACAGAACAAAACAGCATGAATAAACGATACTGAGAGAACAAAATAGATACTGAGAGAACATAATAATATTTGTATTGGGAATGTCGGAAATTATAGATTGAAGCTGGACTGAAACAAAAGCGTTTTAAGTTCTGATTTAAATATTGATTAAGTGGTGGACTCCCGTAGATGAGCTGGTAAAGCGTTCCACAAGGAGAGGGCGTGGTGTGAAAAAGCTCTCCCTCCGAGTCTCTGACTTTTGCTTTGGATAGGTCTTAAAAGTCTTTTCATCGCCGATCTCAAAGGCCGAGATGGTATATATAATTTTGTCAGATGAAACTGTATTTTAGCAAGCTAATAAAGCTGTTTTGTTAAAGTGAGATTTTGGATTCAGAAAATAATATTAATTTTCAATATGTCTTTTTTTCTTCCTCTTCCTCTAATCCTCACTATATAATCTGATTTTTTTTAAACATTAAGCGTAATTGTCTAGAAATACTTTATATTGGATGTGGACTAACGCAACAGAACAGAACAGGAGTTGATTTTTTTAAAATGTACTTCAATCCCAGGAAAATCTTTAGAACAGAGCCAAACTAATACCTTTCAGTCCATCATTAATTAACTTTTAAAGCACCCACATTTGCTTTGTTTTGATCAGATGATAACAAGTTATGAAAATCTGCCTACTGCTATATATTGATTGGACTCAATCTCATTTCAACACTGTTCCATTTCTTATCAGGTTGAAACAGTCCATCCCCAAATATGGTCACATAATAACATGAAGTAATGCTCAAAGAGTGTGGTATGAAAATGTTCAGTATATTTGGGTTTTTTTTAGATTAGAATTGGAGCAAAAGAATGCTAAATCTGCCTCTCAGAATTTCTCTGGAATTTTCTCTATTTCAGTTTGACATTCCAGGCAAACCACCCCTTACTATCGTTACCCTCGAGGGCGCCAAGTACAATGATGGTAAATGGCATGCTGTGTCGGTGGCTTACCGCAACATCAAGGGGCAGAAGCAGGTGACCATGTCTATTGACGGCCACACCACCTCCCACTCGCACTCTGGAATCCACTCCATTAATCTTCGGGGACCTCTGTACATTGGTGAGTGGGCAGTTGCCATGAAAATTCATGAATTTAACTGTGATAGATTCAGATGACAGGGTTACAGGTCTTGTGTGTATGTGTGCGTGCGCATACATGTGTGTGTGTGCGTGCGTGTGTGCATTCGTGCGTGAGTGTGGGTGGCTGAATGTTATATAAGGCCCGTTAGTCTGTATGAAAAAATGAACTTTTTTCTTTTTTTTTTTTTTCTTTTTTTTGGTTCTCCTTTTTTGTACAGCAAGTATTTTCATTTTGTCTAAGTTTTAGGGTTTTACGATTATCAGTACTGCTGCTTTTGAATTTGTTAAAAAAGACCCCTCAAAATATGTGAATTCTCTTTGGAATTTTAGAGTTTGACAAATGTTTTCTTCCTTCCGTAGGTGGCTTGCCAGAAGAACTGTTTGAGAAGAAATACATTCGAGAGTTCTTGTCATCCAAGAATGGATACCGTGGCTGTCTGGCCTCCATGGATTTTGGACAAGGGTTGCCTGACATCTTTGGCTACGGCACAGCACAGAATGTCAATATTCTGAATAAATGCCAAGGTGATATATATGGAATTTGTTCTGGATAGAAAAGACATTTCTTGTATTTACCTTTGCTTTCATTTTTAATTCTAAGAGGGCTATGATAAAGAAGCAATAGAAATTTAATGAGTTCTTCAGCAATAATGATAAATGGGCAAAGGACTTGTCTCAGTTTCTTTTAATAGTTTGACCTATATATGTTTCTGAGTGTGTGTTGTAAATAGATCCTTCAAATGTTTAGTGTTTGTTTTCTAGAAAACTTGTCTGACCTGTTTTCCAATAAAATGAGGTTTTTGTGATGCCTACCAAACTGTTCAAACATTAACTCAGTCACTACTAAACAGTAGGTATCTTGCAATCTAATTTCACAAAGTGCACTTCTTGTATTAGTATGTCAACTGGGACTGAGTATGGTTTTAACTGCCCCCTTTTTAAGGTTTCCATTCTTTGGGGTTGTTAAAATCAGAGTATGTGTTCACAAAAAATAAAAGTGGCTGATAGAAAACAGGATAGCCAAAGAAAAATATAATGAAGAAAATAGTATCCAAAAACAGATACTGCTGATTCAAAACTGCAAATCTATTTGAAAAAAAAAGCCATGAAATAGTTACTCAACTTCTGATATGTAGTCACTGCTACTGAAAAAAAACAGAGGTAACTCAAATATGTTTTTTAACCCAACTGTAAAGCAAATAAGAAAATTACTACCTTTCCTTGGTAATGCGAAGATGTGAAGCAAACAAACTGTAATGCTTGTCACCTTGCTGCAATCATTTTCAATTTTGTAAGCAGAAATTGAAAAAAGGGAATTCTTCGTGTTAAGAGAGAAAACAGTGTACTCTTTGTGGAATAAAAACACAGACATAAGCTGTCAATAGGGTTGTTTGTTTTTTTAATTTCATCATACACTCATTTGTGACTACAAGACTGTTCAAGATGTTTCTCAATGCAATATCAGGTAAAGATAAAAATCACCAGTGATAGTAATGCAGACAATTGTACAACCTTAAAGACTTTGGCATAGATAAGTAGAATGTAACTTCTCTTTGTTATTTTTGTTTGTTTTATTTTATTTTTGTTTGCTTTTTAAAAGTCATTTGCATTTGCGGTTGTATCTCCCATGCAGACATCCGAACAATGTGTACAGAGACGTCTTGCATGAATGGTGGAATTTGCCATGACAACTTGAAAGACGGCTCTACATGGTGTGATTGCTCAATGACAGGTTTTGCTGGCCCTGTCTGTTCAAATGGTGAGTGCCAATTTGTCAGAGCTGGATATTTGACACCTTTCCTTGGCATCTGGTTTGTCTATGTTTGGAGTAAGGTTCTCGTGAAGACGGGGAGGGGGGGGGGGGGGGGGGGGGGGGGGGGTCAAAGCACTAGGGCATGTTAATTCTTTGCAGGTGTTCATGTTTGCTTATTAAGCCTCACTGGATCAATCTTTTTGAGTTGTAAGCTTGTATCGATGCAGTTTCCATCATCTTGTTTTCCAGTCCGGGCTCTGTAAATTTGATTCTACGAGACATGTGTTAAAATACGCTAAAGGGTCTGAAGTGTTTGTGTCAGAACGTGTCAACACAGAGTCAGTACAGATAGTTTTCAGCAGGCATCTTAAGTGTGTATGGTATTTTCTCATAACTGCGTATCAGTCATGTTATAGTAGGAGTAATAAGTTTTTTTTTAAATTTGCATCATTTTGTCTCATTGCTATCGTTTTCTCACTTTCAGTGGATGCTTCTGTTGTAGTACTTACTGCAGTAAATAAAAGGAAAAAATTGGCATTCATTTACATTTCTTTTGTCCACAGAACCATTGGGCTACTACTTCCGCAGTCAAGGAAAGTATGACCTCTATGGCATGATGGTGTACAACTACCCTGCTTTGAAGCGAAACGACAATGAAAAGGATGAGATCATCTTCGGTGTAATGACTGAAGAGAAGAATGCAGTCTTGGCCAAGTTGATCTCTGGCATCTTTGACGACTTCATTGAGATCAAGATGGTGAGAGAAACTTAATCATCAAGGATCATAACAATTTTTTAAAGTGTTTTTTTTTTTTTTTTCAGAAAACGTAAAAGAAAAAAGAAACAGTGTTTACCTAAGTCAACCATTTAACTTGAGCTAGAGTGAAATTGTCTCATTAATAGGATTTCTGATACACAAAACAAAATCTGCTATATTATGTTATAAGTTTTCACTCTTCTCTTCACAAAGAATATTTTAAAGTGTTGCTAGCTTACGACTGAATAAACCCTGGTTTTCATACTTTGATGTAAAAAAATCAGCTTCATAGTTTAAAGTCAACTTTGCTTTTTGTGTGTATAGGTTAATGGCTATGTGGTGGTGACCTATGACACTGACGGCAAGGGTGCGTCGACCACCATCACCAATGGCGACATCGACATTAGTGACGGTCGCTACCATATCATTCGTTTTGTTCGCACTGCAGACAAAGGAACTCTGTATGTGGATGAGGGCGTCAACTTTAATTCTCACCTCAGTAAGAATGTGTTGGTCTTTTTTTGTCTATGTTTCCATCATAAAGTTGAACTTTACCTGGGGATGGTAATTTGAGAGGGAGACTTGTGTTCTGGTTTATCAGTGGATACTTGGTGGAGGGTGTCAGATGTAGATTGATCCTTTTTTTAATGATCCACCAATCATGTTCATGTCCTTCTTTTCAGCTCGAATTCATTTTTTAACTTCTAAATGATTTCTTTTACCCTCCCTTTATGTTCTGAATTTATACATATCACTTCTGACTAGACTAGTTGATTTGAATAGTTCATATTTCCATTTGTAAAAGAACATAGGAAGAAGAATGTTATATTTTTGGAGGATAATGCTGCTACTGATTTAAACATTTTTTAGTTTTTCATTGAGAGTGATAATTCATGTTGGTTCCGGAAAGAATCTTTGACATACTATGTTTGAGAATAGTGTCAGTCATGTGACCAAACAAGTCTCTGTATATATTTTCAGTTGTGTTAATACTAATCTTTTCTTCAAATTCAGCTTCTCATGGCAAATTTGATCGCTTGAGCAAGATTTTCATTGGTGGAGTGTACCAGGGTGGACAAATAGTCAATGGCACTGGTTTCCATGGCATCATCGGCGGTAAGTTGTCATGTAGATTAAAACGTTAACCGTTTAAAGAGCAAGGAAATGCTTAGTCTATATACCTTCGACATTCAGCTACGAAGTAGATTTTTCAAGGTCCTAGATTCAATGATATCTCCTGTCAAATATCACAACGTTCAGAAAAGGGTAGGTTATAGCATGATGCTTTTTTGAAAGAATACAATTTCCTTTTCTTAAATCATATTTTTCTCTTCATGTGGTCCATAATTTTGCTGTTGTTTCATTGTACTATTGAAGATGGCAGATCTTGCTTTTTTCCATCTGTCCTTGCTTTAATTCTCTCACATTTTTTCCCCATTTCTCCTTCATTCAAATGGATCAACCTTAAGTTTAAACATCAGCTTTCTTTAGACTTTTTTTTTTCAGGAATAAAATCTGTACATTAAACCCATTGTGCTTTTCTCACAAGTGTAGAAGTTTTTGTCAATTGTACACTGTGAAGGTGTATGCAAGATATGTTCGTGAATTAAGATTAACTGCTTTGTTTTGCTTCCTTGCTTGAGGTTGATTACTTTTCTGTTTTGCTTAAAATGTTGTGAAAATGTTTCTTTTTTTCCCATTCCTCAACTCATCTGCTTAATTGTTTGTTGAAATCTTAATTGTTTTAGAGGTTTAAACAAGGCTTTTTGCATTTTCAGAACATTACATAATAGGCTCATGTATAGATTTTTTTAAAAACAAACTTGTACAAAGCACAGATAAATTTGTACTTCTCTGTTTTGGTATAATTGGCATCTGTGGCACATTTGAGCACATTTACCCTTTGTTTTGTTTTTTAGGTATGTATGTCAATGGTGAGCTCATCTTCCCATACGCCGAGAAGAATGTGAGAACAGATATCTATTATGATGTCCGTGTTGCCCCTATTCCATACAAGCTTGGACCTATGTAAGTGAAAGCTTTTTGGGATGTGGACAAATACATGTGACTATGTATGTATGAGTGTGTGTGTATGTGTGTGTGCATGCATGTGTGCATGTGTGCGTGCGTGTGTGTTTTTTACAGTGGGAAAAGGAGTTAGGCGGCTGGTATGTTCTCATTGAAAATAGCAGTTAGTTGTCATATTTCATGGACCCTACATTAGGCATACATTTCTGAATGTAGTTATGATGAATCATACTTGTGTTGGGCAGAGATTTGACTTTTCCAAGGAAGATAGTTTTACAGGAGAGGTAAAAAACTGTTGAATTAAAGGATTAAAGATCTCTACAACATAGATTTCATGTGGAAGTTTCTTACATATCTCTTTTGTTGAATTTTTACACTGTTAAATCTGATTTCATATTTGACCCTCCTTTGCTATGTTGTGAAAATTCAAGTTATAGAAAATTCTGGAGATGTGTTAATGGAAAAACGTGGCTGTGCAATAACTTTGAATGTTACTCTGAGAAAAGTTTGATTCCTGTATAGGGAGAATTTTTAGTGAGTTACCTAGATCTTTCAAGCTGTGATGTTGTATCCCTTTCAGCGTAGTTAGGCTGGGTGGAAGCTCGTCTCATAAATGATATAATTTATATTGATGTAAAATCACATTTTTTTAAAAAGAAAGAAATGGTGGAGATCTGCTACAAGCAAACTAAATGCATCACTATATTTCTCTCTGATTACTTTGGGTATGCTCTTCTGTATCTATAAAGTAGCAGGTAGTTCTGTCTTCTTCATTTTCTTCTTTTCTTTACTTCCAATGTCCTAATCTATGGCGACTAAAGTAAAGGTCATGTGTTTTGCTGTTGCACGCTGAAGGCAGGGGTTCGATTCCTGAATAAAGGAAGTTATTTGATAGAATTAGTCTGTCTCTCTCATGGAATGTTAGATCCCTTCTCAGCACGGGTTGACCTCCTGCCCACTCCTAAATGGTGTAAATTGTATTGATTGGGGGTGCAGAATATTAAATCATAGAACTGTCTCACTGTAGTTTACAAATTCACTTCAGTAAGTTTTTTGTGAGAGCTGACGTAAAGTTACCATTTTAGTAAGATAAGCACACCACTTTTGGAAAGGGAAAAGGCACTGTTATTTGCAGAGTGTTGTGACATTTATTATTACAAGCCACTTGCTATTATGTCTATTACTTTTCCCTCTTTACCATGCTAAGTAGCAGTTGTGTCTATAGCTTCTCTCTCTCCCTGGATGCTAAAGGTATTCATCAGTTCATGATGAATGGATTGTTATGATAAATGTCTTCCCCTCCTCAGAGTAACAACACCAAAGATAGAATGGAGCACCACACCAAAACCAACCTTACCAGTCACACGTAAGTGTCTTCCTTAATTCGTGTTTATTTATGTTGTCTTGTCATTGCTGTTGTATGGTTGCTTCAGACAGTTTCTTTTAGGTATCACATATATCTTAGGGCAAGTTACTTATGGTTGTCTCATTTTTGTTGCATGAACGGAAGTTCAGATGGTGTCAAATAGAGCTTTAAATGCTATGCCTGAACCTTAATGGGGTTTTACAAATCTACACTACTCTTTAGCGGGTGGTTGGTGGGTCCTCTGGTGTGGTTTGCTCCTTCTTTGCTATCAAACATATGTCGTCGTGATCTCTCCCCCTTCTTTTTTGTGTTTGTTACTTTCTTGTAACACCTCTAATCTTCGGCACTTATATGACCTTATTGTGTTGCAAGTGTCGTAAAACTCTTACTAAAACTAAACTAAGCACTTTTTAATGCAGCAAGCAATTTGTGTGACATACTCCAAAATCCATCTATATTGAATACGTATCAAAACCCATTAATACGGAATAAGTCTCTTTCTTGACTAATTCGTGCAGTCGTCTCCACCTAAGATCTTGGAGCCCAAGGATAAGAAAGGAAAAATGGGATGCGAGATTGTATTGATGGAGGGGTTTACCTGAATTAGAGCATGAAACAGCCTTTGTCAGATCAAAAGTCTCCCCAAACTTTGCAGTCAATTGGAATTATCATAGTGATATCAATGCTGAGCCTAGCTGAATACCTTGATACTGAGTGTTGACTTGAACTGTAATTAACAGTAATTGTAAATGTAATAGCAAGAGATACACTCAGATGACTCTAACCTTTCTGATAATCAGGCTTTCTCACTATAATATTTTTTCATTTATATCACGAGCCAGCAAAGAAAGACACAAAAGATGTATCCTACCTTCTGCAATAAGATTGCTGTTGAAGTGAACATTAGTGTATATTGCTTTTTATTTTTTATCTATGCAGATATAAAAATGAATGATATCTCTATCACCTTTTTAAAGTCCGTGATAAATTCCTGCTTGTAGTTTGAGACATGCATCTGATGTTACAAGTTGTATTATTGTCTGCTTTTATTTTTTTTCTTCATATTGAAAAAATTTCATGAAAGTACAATTTAGATTTTTATGTATATCTACATGTTATTTTACCATTCCTGTAAAGCCACGAAAAATTTTCTTCAGGAAGAATAAAGGATATCTTATCTTATCTTATTGACAGTTCCCCCTACAACGACGCCAGTGATTGGCATTCCGGTTATTCCCGGTGATGTGGGCGGCGGTGGCCTGGCCTGGACGGTGGGTGGTGGTGGTGGAGGTGATATCGGAGTGGTTGTCTTTCCAGACGGAAGCGGTGGCACTGCTGTTGGTGTGGGAGGAGGAATCCCCCCTCCTATAGGAGGTAAGTTTAGTGTATCATAATTTTCTTCTGACTCTGCTTCTTTTAGGGTTCTCTTGTCAAATAAATTCTTCTCAAATACAGATGCACCTGCTCTGAGGACCACATGTCCAAGGCTATACTCGTCAAACGACCTCTTTCACTTCCCACTTACCCCGTGCATTGTTTTCTTATATTATCATGACAAGGTCCGAGAGAATCATTTATCTAAGATCACCACTTTTCTCCTGGGCATTGAGTGATTGTATTGGACAGGTTTGACTGTGCTTTCTCTGCCTATTATCTGGTAATTGGGTCAATCCAATTTTGCCAGTGACTCCTATTTCTTCAGACTTCTCAAACTCTCAAAGTACACACTTCTATTCACTTAAGATGTAGACTAATGCACTTCTTATACTGATCTTCCCATCCTATGTTATTCCTATCTATCATTGCTCTTTTTTCTCTGTGTCTGAATGCACCTTCATTGTGTCCGTTCATATGTGATTTGTATGGTTTATTTGTATGCATCTGAATATGACATTGTAAGTTGGGTTGCTCCTTTTTCATTTCTTTCCCACTGTAGTTTCTATTTGTCTGTCTAACTTTTTCCCTGCACTAAATGACTGTAATATATTGATGCACTTTTCTTGACTTAATCAAAAGCCCATCTTTATTTGTTCTTCTCCTCCTGGTGAGGGTGGCTGGTGCATGCTCTGGTGTGGCATGCTCTTTTTTCTATCAAACATTCATTCTATGGATTCTTATCTCTCCTTTTCCATGTACATTGCTCTTTATAAACACCTCTTAATCTTGGGCACTTATATGACGTAATTGTGTTGCAACTGCTGTAAAACTTGAAATAACACTAATGCGACAACTCTCTTCCTGGTGCAGGTGCAGCAGGGCAGGTTGCAGGAGCCGGTCTATCAGTGGTCCCCAGCCTCCCAGTAACTGGACCTCGTGCTGGAGCTGTGGTGGGCACCATCCTTGGACTCATGGCATTGGCTAGCAGCTTGATGTGGGCTTTCTATAAGTAAGAAAGAAAAGACAGATTTGACTAGAAGTTTTGATGAGTAAAAAAAAAAAGAAAGATTTTTGCTTTATCATATGGAAATTTTTTTTCACAGAGGTCAGAACACGCAAAAGATATGAGTCTAATTCTCACGGAGAGAGGATATTTTATCAAGCTTCAACATTTTTTTTCAGAGATGCACTACTCAACTTATCCCTACTTGTTAGTTCTGTAGTTTTTCAAAATACGATTTTCCCACCGCTGCAGCAACCAACTTTGCTGACAGTCAACTAATTTAGTGGAAACTCTGTTTTCTCTCTGTTTTTATTTGACTTGCTCATATCGTTTATTTTTGCTTTATGTATAACTCTCCATCTTGCAGTTTGTGATTGTAAATATGTTTTACACCCCCTTCAACTCAATTTAGATCATTACAGAGGCCTTTGAGGACTGGCCTGGGATGAGTTGAGTAAAGCATCTCTGGGAAAAAATTTTTTGATATTTGATGAAATATTCTTTCTGTGTGAGGATCAAACATGTCATTTGCATGATTGCTGTAAATTCTTATTGTCCTGGAGCAATCAGCTCTTTGAATTAATTTTATGCACTGCAGTCAAAAGCTCAGCAACGGCCCCTTAGGAAGTGAATAGTCAGTATGATCTTGAGCATTGGAAACTTTTCAGACAAAACTAGTTTGAGACTGACCTGGAAATTCAAACCAGGCTCTTCACACTGCCAGTAGCATGATACCTTATAAGTTTACAACAAGCTGATGCATGTTATTCAATTTATTGTATTCTGTCTCTTCTGATGTAAACTAGCATCTGTAGGCTCTATGTCATCGCATGGGGAAGACATGAATGCAGTTCCCGTGAATGGAGTTTTTTAAAATCAAATATCCTTGTTTCTTTTGTTGGGAAGCTGTAGGCGAATTAGCCTTGGTTAGCCCTGACAGACAGGGTCGAAGCAGGTTGCCTCCTAAATGATGTGAATTCTGTAGATTGGAGCATTGTACTCTCACAAACACAATTCTTCTTCTTCTCTTCCTCCTCCTCATCCTCCTCCTCCTCCTCCTCCTCCCTCTCCTCCTTCTCCCTCCTCCTCCTCCTCCTCCTCCTCCTTCTTCTTCTTCTTTTTTTTCTTCTTCTTCTTCTTCTTCTTCTTCTTCTTCTTCTTCTTCTTCTTCTTCTTCAAGAGCCAGATTTGAAACTGACTTTGGTAATCATGGTTGGACGCTCATTTTTCTGCTCAGATGCTCTTAGAAAATACCTAAATTATCCTCATTTTCTCCCATCATCAATCCTCTCAAGTTATTTAAGTGATTCAGGGTCTACATCTTTCTCTTTTGCCTTTGATCTTTCCTATGAAAGCAAAATGTTCAATGCTTTTACATCAATTCAGGTGACCTAGAAACTGTTAATGTCTCTTCCTAATTGATTTTTGTTACTGACCGTCCCATGCACAATGACAATTTCTTCAGATGTAAGCCTGGCTGGTGCTTCCGTCCCCCGGCAGAAGTACCTCTCAACATCTCTGCTCCGAAATCTCCCACAAACAAGCCTGTTGTCCAAGCTGCGTCTGCTGCTGTTGCCGCCGGTGATGGAGCAGGAGCAGGAGCAGGTGGTGCTGGTGGTGCTGGTGGTGCTGGTGGTAGCGGTAAGCCCAGTGTTTGATCTTCTTCGGCCGATCAAGAACAATTCCAAATTTCTTTGGACAATACCCTGGGGCCCCACAGTTTCTTACATCAAAAAGAATAAATTTATTTCCCATATGTAACAATGGAAAAGTTTTCATCTTGATATTGATATGAATCCCAGTAACTGAACCCAACTCTACTTAAATGAGAGAAAATAGGACATAAGGAGATGGTAGTTGACGGCTAGGTGCAAGACTCTGACAAATGCAAAATTGCAAAATGAATGGCATCCAGCCATCAACGCAGTGTTGTAGTTACCTTCTGACTATGATGATGATAATAATTGTACTATATTAAAGAACAGGATGTATTAGTGATCATTTTGAAAAGGGAAATAGCTCTACGTAGCTGTGTTTATCTATTGATATCATTTTTTTAATACATAGAAAGTTCTATTCTGTTTCAAAAGTAGAGAGAAACGACTTTATTTTCTCCTACTTGCACCTGTTGTACAGCTGTTAAAGTTACCGTCAAAGTAGTCTCCTGATTGGGCCCATTTCCATTTCTTTAGACAAAGGCTTCACTGAATTTAGTACAACGGTTACTGAGAGTGGGATTGTGTATTTGTAACTAGCTGAGCAGGATGATCAAATTATTATAGTATATTTGTCTTGTTTTTATGTGTGTTTTATTTTAGTCAATAATGTTATTTTGCACTTTTAAAGAGGATATAGAGAGGTTTAAAGTTTTTTGTTCCAAACATTTGACATCTTATTTGAAAGGGTTTTAATTTATGTACCTTCAGACAGTGTCTTTTAAAAACAAGCAAAAGTAAATAAACCTTAGTAGGTTTATAATGTTTAATGGAGTGGATTGCCAAGAAGAACTTGACAAAAGATCTGTAGGACATTTTCTTGTGTGCAGCAGTTTTCAAAGACATACCTTAGGCAAAAGAGCACTCAAGCTCTCCTTTATGTCATTCTGAATCTAGATTGTCTGTGTACCTACGTCAGTGGTGTAATGATTTGGCTCTTTACCTTGAATTCTGAAGATGCAAGTTCAATTTGAACATTGGAAAACTTATTTCATTGAACATCTTGAGCTAGTGAGCACAGACAGGTACGAGTAGAGTTGCTTCCCCCACGGTGTAGTCTAGATTATTTTGATGGGACCAACATTGTCAATGGGTTAGTTGCTCTGTTGAATCCATAATTCTGTTATTCTCTGGTTTTGTCATGTGCTGTTTTATATTTTCAGTTTGTGGACTGAATATTTTTGTTTTGTTTTGGTTGTGTATGAGTTTCAGTCAGGCATGATATTTGAGTGTCTTGCATGGTGTGTAGTTTTTGAAGATTGCATTTCATCAACAGATCCATGTTTGTGGCTCTTAATTTTGATTTCTATTTCTTTTTAAAAAATCCAATAAGCATCTTTTCATATTTTCCTCTAAGATTTAAGTTTGAAAATCTTTTAAAATGTTATCTTCTTGTCTGCTGCATACAGACCTGGATTTTAAAGAAAAATACTGCCTCACATAACCAGTGCTGGTCTGATCAAGCACTTAATTTGGCTCAGTTCTTCAAATTAAAATTCAGCCCTCTACAAAGACGACTAAACAACTTTCAACCTTAAATTGTCTTTTATCAAGCCCCTTACATGGCACTTTCTAGGCCGACAACAAGTTTTTTTAAGCTCCTATAGTTGAGCTTGAATAGTGTAAATCTTTCTGGAGGCATGATGGCATGGAGTACTTTCATATTTTATTTTGTTGTTCAGTTATTCTTGTTTTGTTTGATTTGTTTGCATGTGTCTTCAGTTTCCGTAAATTGTCTCTATTTGTTTTGTTTTAAAAGGAGTAATTATTTTAGTCTGAGAATGCAAACAAATGTGGTTGCTCCCTTTCAGTGACTTATCACCTATAAATTCTCATGTAAAGTCCTGGCCTGTGTCTTTGAAAGCTAGCAGAGTACTTTTATGTGAGGATGGATATTGATTGTGAATAGTTTTCCCTACTTTCAGTCGTAAGCCACAGCTGTCCATGGTTATTCTTTTGTTTTTAGTTTCTATGTGTACAGCTACTCAATGTGAACTTTGCTTTTCTTTATTTCATTTTGGTGGAATTAGTGTTCTGAAGTTGAAAGCATGTTCTAATGTATGATGTTAATGCTGTGAATGCCTGCCACTAATCTGCATGACCCTATCCCCTTCTCCTTGCTCCTTGCCACCCTCCCACCGTTCCCCTCCCTGCATCCCCCGTGTGTCCCGAACTCTCTCCTGGCCTGCACTGTGTGTACAAGGTCTTGACGTGGTGGATGCTGCTGTGACAACAGGTGGCGCCAAAGGTGGAATGATCAGCGCAGGAAATGCTGGAAGTGTTGCCGGGGCAGGAGGCATGGGGGGCAGTAACTCCTACTACTACTCCCAACAGACTGCGTCTAACTCCCTCCAGCACGGGGAAAGTTATGATTCCGCCACTTTGCGGGCAATGGGGGCCTTTTCCAACAAAGGTACAGCTATATCGTGCTCATTTCTCATTCCAAGCTCATTCATGGTTTTGTCAGATTTGTTCTTTTTGGTCTTTTTAAAATCTCAGCACATATAGCTGTTGTGTATCATCTGTGGTGCCTTGCATTATGCCACTAAAGATGCACAGAAAGAGAAAGAGAGAGATGATATCTTTTTGCTTACATATCTTACAGAGGAGTGTGTAATATTGCTAAAAATACACTCAAATGTGAATTGAAAATCCTGCACATTTTCACTTCTATAATTTTCTTGATATGTCAAAGCAGTTAATGGCGAGGGAGTAAAGACTTGAGGGTCAAATAAGAAAAAGTCCAAGAAAAGTAGTGACACCCCTTTTCAAAGAATTTCATAATAGAGTGTGATGAGGTGGGAGCAGTGGCTGGAAAAGGGTTACAAAAACTGCTCATGTTATCAAAGACTTCCTCATGCATTTCCTTTTTCTTCTATTGTTTTTTTTTTTTCAGCCTTATTATTTTTATTTGCCCTTTTGACAAAAGAAGTGAGAATCAGTTTCCTTAAAAAGCCTCCAGATTTTCCTCTGGACAGTAATAGTGCAATGGATTTTACAGAGATGCCTACGTTAGGCAGTCATGGTTTCCAGTATCTTTTACAAAAGTTGCAAAATTAGCCCCAAAGCAGGAGATGATAAACTTGTTTATTGTATAAACTGATATCTTCATGCAGAATCAGGTCAACCTTCCTCTCTGATATCTCTGTTTTGATGCATTGTATGTGTGTATATATGGAATCTGTATTCATGCTTCACGTATTGGCAAGAGATTAGCACAAACAATTCTAACCATTCACCATCACCCATTCATTTAAGTTACAGAAGATAACTCAGTGCAGTTCAGGACGCAGAATTAGCAAGACAGGAAACAGGTGTGTCTAGCACCGAGTGAAACAAACAGGCTACTTGATCAAATCTTTTTTTGTTTGTACGTCGACTTTGATAATGAAAAGAAGAAGGTGATAATGAAAAGAAGAAGGGAAATTAATTATCCGGAGGCAATGTGGAAACAATTGCAACAAAAGAAAAGTTATTGTGCCACTCTGCCAATTCAAAATTTCTGCATGGGTGGCAGCAGTTGTTGTTGAGAATAAAAAAGGTCTTCTTTATATGTAATAAACATATTTTTCTAAAAGCGAAGGTAAAAGGCAAAAAAGTAATGGGAGACCTTAAAGAAGATGGGAACAGGACATAAAAATCTGGCTTGGAACTAAAGCAACTCAGGCAGCCAGAACGGCAAGAGACAGAATATTTTATTGCAGAAAGGCTCATGAAGTTAAGTCCAACTACTGGAAAAGTGAAAAAAAAAGAAGAAAAAATATATAATTCTTGATAAATAACGTATAAGAAACAAATATTTTTAACGATCTATGCTTATCCAAATAGGAACAATTGTGAATCACCATTATATTATAAATTGTCAGTCATTCATCTCTAATACCACAGTCTGCTTTATGCAATAAATTCCTTGGATTCATGCTTAAGCAAGCTCACGCACATTCAGTGGAATAACAAATTTCACTTGTCAAAAATGTATGTATTCACTCAAATTGTTTTCTGCCAGTACCACAAATTTCCATGCTGACTCTAGTAGGCCTGAGGCTTAGTGGGTTGGGTTTTTTTTAATTCATGAAAGCATAAGACTTCTCTGTATTCAAAACAAAGTTTTTAATCTAAAGTGGCTGGTTTGCCTGAATGCGTGGCATGCTGTCTTGCCAATGGCAAACTATTTAAGGGTAAAAAACAATTTAAAAAATGTGGAACTGACTTGTTGGTACTTTTTACCGGTGTCGTCACATTGTCCAGAGGTTCACCTGACTGTGCATGCTTCACAGCTGTTTGCTGTCTTTGCTCCTGCTTTTATTTGCAAACGCACTTGCACATTACACCCGTACACACACACACACCCACACACACTCACACTCATACACATGCACACTCACACACACACACTCACACGCTCACACTCATACACATGCACACACACACACTCACACACACACACACACACACACACACACACATACACACTCACACGTGTACACAAACTTACCCACACACATGCATATTTACACAAATCGTCCTCAGACATGCACATGCACGTAAGCTTGCTCTTACACACCACTACACAACTCCCACATACAAACATATATATGTACACAAATACTCTTACACGCATGGGGTCCCACAAAAGCACATTACTCCCGCATACTCACACATCTACACAAACACACTCTGACACACATACTGTCATACACACACCTACAGGAACAAATGCATCATATACATAAAAACTTGATCACGACATCTTCATCACAGCATATAACTACTTCAATACGCTACCTCTTGATATATGTAAAAGAGCATACAAATGTTTATGCACATGAAAAGGAGTGCACACAGACACACAGACACACACACACACACACACAAATACATGTGGAACGTTTTAAAATTTGAAATTATGGCTTTTGCTTTGTACAGATTATCACCTAACTTTGTCGTGCCCATTTCACGCATCATGAGCTCATATGTTCAAAGTCTGTGGAACCATCTTCCACAGCTAGCTGTGTTGACTGATTTGTTCATTTTGTCATGTTAACTGCATACTGCATCCTTGCAACTACTGCTTTTTGCTGAAGTAACTGCAACCGTCAATCATTTTTGTTCACATTCTTGTCTTAACATTTCATAGTGTCACCAGAGTTGTCTCCGTGGAAGCTGTGTTAGGATTTGGAAATATTGATGTTGCGGGGAATCTTTTTCCCAAGGCGTCTCCACTGTTCCATTCCACCCCACTTGTGAATTGTGTTGTTTTTTATTGTTTGGTTTCAATAGAGACCAGCTGTATTTTATTTTCCTTGTCTTGAAAAAAGATCTCAACAATGTCTTGAAAACATTGGGAAAGGGTGGTTTGATCTTATATATATGGTATTACCTTGGGTTTTGTCTTTTCTAGATGAACAGATTTTTTAAAAATTAGGGACTTGAAGGAGACGATACAATTGCACAGCTATAAAACTTCATTATTAACATCCGTTATTTCTCTTGTAAATTGAAACCAACACATGTTGAAGTGAAATAAGATCCAAGTCTACTTATTCTGCCGAATATAACTATGATAAAGACTACCATATCCCACTTCACACTAAGTAGGGTGATTCTATGAGTCACAAGGGTGAACAATTATTTACAGCTCTATGCCTGTTAAGACTTTTTGATCCTTTAACACTTTGCTGTCATATTTTTGGGAACATCCAAAGAAACTGGGTGGTAAACATCGCCAATCAGTGAGATGATGCGGCAAAGTGTTCAGACTTTCAGGGAACTTTTATGACTTTTATGAACATTCCCCTACACCCCTTGTCTTTTATAACACATCTCAAGTCCCGTTCAACATGTGATTCCTCATGCATGTCGCTCTTCTTGACCACACAGGTACAGCCATAGGGACTCCTCGTGCGGCCAGAGCACAGTTTGGATCATCATCCGCCTCAGCAAGTGGCTACTCTGTCACAGAGACGAACGCTATCACTCCTGGCTCCCTGCAATCTTATCAGTTTGATGCAGGCAACAGCAATGCAGATTATGATGTAGCCACTGGTAAGAGGCAGTGTGACCCCCCAAAAAAAACCCAAAAAACAACAACAACAAAAACATAGGATTGATTCTTAATTAGTAGCTGTAGATCAATACTTCAATTTTTTTTAAAAATAAAATTCTTATAGAGATGAAAATTTCATGGCCACATTAATAAAATTGATTTTGAAAAGAGAAATTATTCATTTTAGTCTTTGCTTATTTACAGTGGAGACATAATATCTTTATTCCCGATTTTAAATCAGCTCTACTAAGCATCCACAACAGATAGAGAAATAGAAAATATTAGCTTTAGTACCATAAGATGACATGGACTACAGCTTAGAAAGATGTAACAATATGTGAAAGACCATTGTTCAATTCCAAAAAGGGTCTTTTTTATGGTTGTTTGGAGAGTTGTCAAAGCTCTTCCTGGTCCAATGAATACGAGGAGAATGTAAAATCTATAGGTCATCGTTCTTATCTGACCTCTCAATGATTGTTAATACCATTCCATTATACCTCACATAGAAAGATATTTTCTATGAACCTAGATAAGTGTACAAAATACTTATAAAGCTTGTTACAGAGAAAATAGTGTAAGAATGAAAGTACAATCAAAATTGTCCAAGGAGGGGCACCAATTGTCGAGGAGAACAGTGGTTGTCTTAGACAGGTGAATGTCTTGAACAATGTCATTATATGGTCGTTTGCACAATTGATTGTCTTGGACAGGTGGCCATTAGAGCAGGTTCAACTGTACTTAAATCTTTTTCAAAAACTGAAATGAGTAGATGGTTCTTTTGAATAACCTGTCAGTGTTTTCTGATCTGTGCTCTCAGGTGTTCATTCCAACTATCAGAGCAACACTCTTGGTGCTGGGGGAGGCGGTGGTGGATTCTCCACTTCCACAATGTCATCCAACTATAATTACTCTGTGAAGACAATCCGCACTGTGGGAGGACAGCAGGCCATGATGGGGTAAGGCTCATTATGTGTTGTTACTGTGTAGTCTATTCTCCTGAATTTAGTTTCAGGCATTTCAAGGATCTTTTTCAGTTCCTGTCATATTATGTTAACTCATTATTCATGTGAGTACTATACGACAGTTACTCACTTCTGAGAACTATAAAAATATTGCAAACTATTTATAAGACAATCCACAACTGCATACTCCAAGGACTGGTCTTCATGTTATGTGGCACAATGTGGTGGAATCAGGTGCCCGTCAATTTTTTAGCTTGTGGAATTAATGGTATCATCCTAAAACTTGTTTATTTGGGTGGGAAAAGTACCCATAGAATAGAAGTCTGGATATTTATGATTGAAGGAGGTGGGGGTCGTCTGGTTTCAGAGGTAAAATTAACAAGAAAATGGCCGCCAAAATTTGGTGACTTCCAAAGCTTGAGAGTCCTAGGAAACTGTAAATTAAAATTTTTTGTGCCTGTAAATAATATTTTTCAGTAAAATCTTAACTGTAATGTATTTTAGCTAGGTCAAAATAAAGGGTTGAGCCAAAAAAAAAAATTATAAAAATTAGCAAATAGGTGCGGTAGCGGAGCGGTTAGTGCACTCGTCTCCGAAGCGGAAAGTCCGGGTTCGAGCCTCATTTCAGACACGGATTTTTTTTCGCCCCTTCCTGCCCACCCAGCAGTAATGGGTACCTGACTTCGAGTTGGGGAAGTAAAGGCGGCGAGGAAAGAAACTGGCCACCCTACCAGAATATGCCGAAGGCCCAGGAAGTTGTCTCACTAACAAGGCAATCCCCAATTGCTTCTTCTTAGAACGAAATATTGACCAAACCCTAGGCAGCGAGCCCTAAAGTTTTGGAGTAGCCTGGAGGATCTGCAAACAGCAGCATTCACACAAGAGACTGGGAAATCTATTATAAAATGAATGAGATGTAGTTCCTTCTATACTTTTCATTCGTTTCGCATATGTCACTGATGGACATATTCTTTTTTAACTTACATCTCTGATGGACAGGCTACAGAACATTCTGAAATGAAAATTTATAGAAACTAATTATTTGAGCAGGGAAATCAGGGTACCATGTTGTTGGATAGATTCTCTTTTATATTGTAGGTGTGTGTATGTGTGTGATGTGTGTGTGTGTGTGTCTGTGTTAAAGGAGAGAAAGGGTGCTCTAAATATTAGAATATAACGTGTCAAGGCCTTACTTCTCTGACTGAATGGGGTTTTCATCAAAAGCTTTTTAGGCTGGCTGTGTAAAATGTTAAAGATCAATGTTAATTCAGAGATTAGCGATGCAAGAATACTCATATTGCATAAGAAGGGATGCAAAATTGAAAACCATACAAAGAAAGGTTAATTTGATGATTTTCTTTTCTTTAGTTACATTTGGGATGGTTCTAGAATGATAGTTTCATTAAACAAGAAGGTTAAATGCTGATTTATAGTATTTCTACTGACTGATCTTCTTTGTTTTGATCGAGGATTTTGAAATCCTACTCAAAAATAGAGGTCCGATATTAACATCTGTTTGTTGTTGTTTTTTTTGCGTGTAGATACAATGGCAGCGCATCCAATGTGATTGTGACTCCAGGAGCCATGGGCGAGGAAGTGAGAGTAGACTGTTGTCTTATGACCGGAGATGGAAACAGTGTGGTCACTGGCTCCAGCCTGGGACCACCTCAAGTCTGGAATATGTCTGTAAGTGACTAGCGCTTTTCTTAAGAGAAGATTTTGTTACATCATACAGTCAAAGTTGTCCAAAACGACCTCTCATTATTGAGGAGAAAAGTAATTGTCTTGGACAGCCGGATGTTTTGGACAGTGTCTTTATAATTTAGAAAACATATTAGGGGGGAAAGTGGTCATTTTTACTGGTGGTTGTCTTGGACATAAGGTAGTTTGAGTAGTTTTGACAATAATCTTTTGATTGTAAGGATTTTGTTTGTTGTCTGTTCTTATGAACTACAAGAGTAGTAGATGAGGGTTTTTTTTCTTATTTTTAAATGCTATCTTATTAATTGTTTAAAATTATTTATTTATTTATCAATTCAGTTATTCATGTACGGCTTATTTGTGTATGCAATCTTTTTTTTTAATCTTTTTTTTAAAAGATTTTGTTTGGGGGGGGGGGGGGGGGGAGGCATGTGCCTCTATTTGTTGTCATTGTCATGTTATAAAAACAGATTTTGTTACATAACTCAATAATCTAAACTGCAACTCTTCAACAAAATAACAGCTTCCAGATAAATAATTGGCAAATACAATTACACTGTTTTAGTTATTCTTGTTTTACAAATGGCGCGCACATGTATAAATTGTTGTCTTCGTAAAGTGATAAAGAATGTTGAGGTTGTAACTCATAATGATTAGATATTAGATATTGATGGTAAACTCTGCTATCTATATTATAAAAGATTTTGGGGAGGAATTTTTTTTACTAGTTTCCTTACATGCCATACTCTTATTTTCCTTTTTTCCAGAATGGAGAGCTCCTTCGTATAATGCAAGGAGAAACAGTTGGGTCCACATACCTTCACCTCGTGAGCAACGATCGTTTGCTGGTCGGTGCAATCAACTCAGATTTAGAAATTAATCAATACTCAGTGCCGAAAGGAGTACACAATTATGTTTTCCAGGTGAGATTTTAATAGAAAATAACACTTGATATGAGTCTGTTTAGCCTGAATTTATGCTGAAGCGGGAAAAAAAGATGATTTATTGAATACCACTTACTTGGTTTTCATAATGTGATTTGTTTTGTATTTTCATGTATTATCTAATTCAAGGCCAAAGAGAAGTATCTTTATATCTGAATTTCACAGTTTCTTGCTGTGAAGAAACAGAACAAGTGTTGAAACAGGAAACCCATGGGGATTGTAGTGATTTTTTTACTTTACCGAGGGTTAAACCTTGAGCTCTGACTTAAACTTAAACAAATTATTCTGAACCAGAGACTATGTTTCAACAATCTGGTTTAAATTTGATTGCCTAAATGGATCCATCCCAGTAGAAACATCGGAGGTAAATTTATTGCCATCTTTCTGTCCCCTCATAAAAAAAATAACTCACACCATATCCATTACATATACATGGGATTTTTTCTCTCTTGATTTTAATAAGAAAATATTTTAAAGGCTTCTTTGTCCCTTTGTGTGTCTCCAGATTTGGGACTTTGCCTCAGGCCGTCCTTTGGACATGGCCCAGATTGAGACCTGCTCCGCTTTGACCACAATGAGTGACAACAATAAGGTGGTCTTCGGTAGATCTGATAACTTTGGTGGAGGCACCAACATCGTGGTCTGGGATCTGCTTGGCAACCAGGCCATGAAAGAGATGAGATACGACGCCCCTGTTGGAAACAATGACTACGTTAGTTATATTAGTATGTCTCAGGTAAGCCATTTCTTTTGGAGAATGTTTCCTAAATATTTCATATACTCAAACATCTGTTTTTGTAATGTGGGTAATTGGTGAGTGCCCTGGTGTTCTGTGTTCCTTCTACCTCATATAAATGTTACTAATGTTCTAGTCTGTGTGTGGGTGTTGGTTGACATTCTGGTAGGGTCTATTGTTTGCTCCTTCTTTCCTATCACTTCTATCATCCGTATCTCTCCTCCGTCTTTTCCTTGTATGTAACTCAATAGTAAAACCTCTCATCTTTGGCACTTATAAGACCTAATTATGTTACAAGTGCCGTAAAACATGTACTAAAACTAAAACTGGTCTGTGCTTTGCAACATCTGGCCATTATCCTTTTGATTTGTTGTGGTCTTTTACTTCACTCAGTTCTTGAGGTGAATATATATCTAATTGATAGGTGTTCTATGTTGTTTTATTTCTCTCTTTACTGCTTTTACTTGTTCATCCTAGTTATCATATTGCAGTCTGTCGATTAATTTTTTCATTGAATAAAGAAAAAATTAAATAAAGCGAAAACAAATTTCATCTAAATGTGTGTGATCTGATTCAGAGATGTTATTCTTACTCTTTGCCGATGAACAAAAGTTTTTCCTGGCTTTCACAGAACGACAGATATGTGATATCAGGCTTTACCAACACCTTTGACAACTTTGCCGAGTTTGTCATCTTTGACTTGAACCAAACGTCTTACAATGTGACTGACCCCAACATCTTGCGACTGGATGCTGTCCCAGAATGCACCGCTGTACTGCCCCATGACGAGGCTGTCACTGGACTCAGGAATGGAGATCTTGTCGTCTGGAGCTTGAGAACAGGTGAGATAAATTGCACGACTAGGAAGACTGAGAAATACTCCTATCAACCAGAATTAAAGTCATGGATTTTCCTGAACAGCCAGAATTAAGTCTCTGCTGTCATTAAGCATTCGCATAAGTTTTTGTATCACTGGCAATTTTGGATCTTAATCTACCTCATTCCTCATGCAAAAAAATTAACCATTGGTAAAATTGGGGAAGTGGATAGTGATATTGAGTGCCGAAAAAACAGGTGTATTGTAGAGGAATTTAATCTACAAACTTGATTTGGAAAGTGACTTGGATTCTGAATCCAAAATTGTCTGTGATACAATGCACTGCGACTCGAAAAATACGCCTTCAAGTATGAAATTTTCTTTTTAAAAAAGAAGTATTGTCATGTCTATTTTTAACTTTACCAAAATTATAATCATGGATGTGGAGGACTGGACAGAAATTTGCTTTTAATTGTAGGAGGTGAAAACAATACGTTCTATATCATTCTTAAACATTAACGACATGAAGCATGTTGTTTTGGCCCATGGGAGTTAAACCCCCATAACCCTTCCATACAAAGGCATCTACGTGTCTGCATGTTGACTGTTGTATAAACACCTCCATATGTTGAGACATACTGACATACGTTTGGTACACTGAAGCCTAGAAGTATTCATTGTTCATGTTGTGGCATGTGCTAGGGGTCCATTGAGTTGGTTCTGACTGTTCAGGAAAATCCATGATCTATTTTGGAAAATAAGGTTCCCATACATTTGAACTCATATCATCTGTGTCTCAAGCAGTTCATGCATGGGTGGGTGGACTTCATCACTGATTGGTCTTTCCTTGCCCGCTGTTTTTTCTGTCATCTGTCTTACTTTGGTCCTGCACTTAAAGACCACTATTGTGTTGATGTGCTTGTCTTAAATTATAATCATCAGCCTGCTCTACTCTGGCATTACCAGATGACAAGGACATGTGGTTACTTGAGGGAGGCATTGCGCTGCCAAGAGCGAAATGTTCGCAGCTAAAGGGATTTGAAAACAACAAAAACAACAAATTATAATCAAACACAAATGAAGCCGGCAAGAAGAATGACAAATCTAGCTTCAATAGTGATATTTGATGCCGTATCTCTTGTTATTTCCACAGGTCAACCTAGTCGCCAGCTTTTGGCCAACAACGGAAAGCATGCCCACTCTCGCGAGGTCAAGGCCGTGGCAAGATCAGAGGACAATAAGTATCTGGTCTCTGCCTCGGCTGACGGAACATTGAAAGTCTGGGACCTGAGCTCTGAGAGGCATATGTGCACTATGTCTGGTCACAATGATGAGGTAAAGAATTTTTAGAGGCCGCTTTGTTTAGAGCTGGTCCTATCTTCTATTTGTGACAGTTAGTTGGATGTGAAAGAGAAATAAGTGATGAAAGGAATTTAATATTATGAAAAGAAGCAGAAATTTTTTTAATGAAGAAAAAGGTGACTTGGGATAAAGCATTTTGAAACTTTGCAGTTTACATCCCCTTATTGACATGTGCGCTTTGTTTTCCTTGGAGTGAGTGAGGAGTAACCTCTCTTTCTAGAACAACTTCTTCTGTGTACTTGATAATGTTACAACACAGTACTATTTGTTTTACAGAGATATTGTAGGCCTTAGTAGTTAGAATTGTTTTCTTGTTAAAGAATTTGCAGAACAATGATATTGACATGAGATTTTGCAATCTGTGCAATTCTTCAAAAACTCATGCTTTTAGATTGTGTGTTTGTAAAGACTTTCTATTCTACGTTTGGGAGAGCAGAAATAGTAAATTATCTTCCTTGACCTCTGTACTCTGAAAGGAGGAAGATCAATTTTGGAACTTTTTGATTTACAACAGATTTGTAACAGATTACACCCCCC